CGCATCGGATGGTTTCTTCCCGATTAATTTCGTTACTTCATTATTCAGCGCTGATACAACAGCTGATAATCGTGTCACCCATTCGGTTGATCTCAATCGTTCCGATTTCATTTCAATCCCATACTGATAGCCAAACAAACGTTCCGCTAATGTCCGGTTAAATCTTTCAACGATAGCTTGACTACGGTGGGCCTCTTTTTCACCACGCCTGATTTCGACATCGTGCTTTGTTAACAGTTTAGTTACCGATCCCATAAACTCGCGACCAGGATCTACTTAGCTTAGGCCAGTTTAGTGGTCCGCGTTTATATATGCGACTCAGTGCATTAGCTACTTCTGTTGAATCTTTCGAGATTAATGGCTCAGCCTCTTTGTATCGACAAGCAACACCCACTACAGTTAAAGCGTATTTATACGTTTTGCGTCTTACCTTATCATTGGGAAGAAACAAGAGGTCAGCCTGATGAACTTCATTCATTGTAAAAATATCAAACTTCTTCCTCGGTATATAACGCGGTGCTGGTAAGTATATTTGCCACATCGCTTGTTCCTTTAGCCAATCCTTGGCCACATCTTTAGATACCTTAGCCGCAGTGGCTAATTTTTGTATTGCTCCTATACCTTTCAAATATCCTCGTGGACTATAGTAAATTTTATCCATTATTAATTGATTTTGATGTTTCTTTTAATACGACTCATGACGATCGTTGAATAGCATCAGCGTTTTTGCATAAAAAAATCCCCCTGTAGTGGTGGTATAGGTATATAAATCTGGCTCCAGTGAAGTTGCGGCAGAACCCCTATTACCTATACTACCTAATGATGTCTGTCGTTTAAAGTTGCTTCGCCGTTGTCATAGGTATTCTCATGTTGTTGCATTGTACGACACGAGAGAGTTTGCTCATTGTTGTGTCCGATTATTGCGTGGCGCTGACACAATGGCCAGGGCGTGTTTTACTTAAATGTGTGTATGTGTGTGTGTGTGTGTGAAGTAAATGAAGGTGTTGTTATGATATCGAACAGCAGTTCTAATAGATTATCGGCAACCATTGCTACATGATTCAAAAGCGTAGGCTTTCGATAGGTCGATGTTTTCATTCGCAATTTTTATGTGTGAAAAGGAATATTAATTCTGAGGTATCGAATGGAGTGTGGTACCTGATTTTATCCATTCTTCAGCATGATGGTAGAATATTTCAGTGCTACCAGCTACATTCCCAGCATATTCTCATAAATAAAATCCATATTTTCTGAAATTGACTCTTAGTTAACAATTATTTTTGCTCACATTATCTCGGACTAACTTTTTGTATTTTCACACAGCGAATGTTTTTCAAATTGTACAGGATGTGTCGCCAGCAGTGCTCGGATCCGCATTGTATGATTTGAGGACGACACATCATATATCGGTGTGAAATTAACTAACAAGTAAAGAAAGGACTCTAAAAAAAAAAAAAAAACGCAAAAATTGCGGAGTTCATTCGCAGGCTTTACGTGGAAACCAGTTAACATCTGAACGAACGAAACACCCTCAGCACATGCACACTGAGGAGCTGGCGCTGAACTATTGACGATCAGAATGCGAACGTATGCTATCCCAACCGTCATTCCAAGTTCGTGCATTGAGAAAGTCAAAATACACAGTGACGAAGATTTTTTCTTAACGAAAACCACTGATTCCAAAGTTCCCTTCAGCACTGATGACATTAATTCCTATTTTAAAACGTGTCTTGATTTAGATATATCCAAGGTAAATTTTAATCTGTCAGGCACCAATTTTGGAAATTGATATTAATCCATTTAACGGAAAAATTGCCAAATGAACGCAAGGTTTCCGATAAAATAATTTTAGAAAGTGGCAGTTTGGGTACCGAAGTTAATTATTCTGACCAAAACCAGGTACCGTGTACGAAAGAGTTTGATATCAGAGTTGGTTTCATAAAAACAGGAACTTTGACTGAGAATGAGAATGAGAATAAAACTATTGACATGCTCTCAAACAACAAGCAGTTCACGATGTCGGAAACCTTTATCGGAGCAGAAATTGTACATTTAGGACCATACAGCAGTAAAAAAAGAATACGGTTAAGAAATGTCAGTAGACATTTAGAACGTTTGATAGTTGATCCCGGGAGAAATATTGGGTCGAAAGAAGTGTCGGAGAACATCTTTTCAGTATTAGCGTTAATGAATTAAACAAATGTCTGATAATATTAATTACAGAAGTTAGTGTGATTGAGTGTGTTGAAATTTAGCGACGGGAACAAGTTGATATACATTTATATTGGTCAAACACATCTTGGCATAACAGTAGTATTTAGAACTGTTTAAAATACGGGCTATCAGCCACATGCAACCAAAGCTAGGCCACATCACATGGGGTCTACAGAAGTTAGAAATCAGAAAGGATCATATTTATACCATGGTAAAAGTGTATCTATTTTCTGTCCTGATGAGATAAAACGGAAGAGATATGAATTTAAACTGATTTTCAGTTTGCTGACATGGACGTCAGAATGAAGGACTGGTCCAAAGTGCGACTGGCATCACAAGCAACATACCAATATTTTGAGCCAAAGAGCAGTAAGACACTGTGGGCGAGGGATGTTTTACGGGAAGTTCCTCCACAAAATTGTTCCATACATTGTTCTTTTTTTAAATGGCATTTGGTTTTACTTAAAGAGCGGTGGAGAACACCGCTCCTTAAAGATCGGGGACAGGGGTAACGTTTCCTTTGTCTAAACACTTGGAAAGGTAAATAAGACGAAATGTGGTGTGCTGAAACACGAATTCCGTCGGTGTTGGGGCCTGACTTGTACAAAGCAGAATGTTGCCTCGTCCTCCCTCATGACAAATATGTCTTGGAGATAAGAACTATAAGCGTGAAAGACAATCTAATCATTATACGTGGATGTTACCCAGTGCCGACACGACACAACTGTTTTTCACGTAATTCTAGACTAAATTATATTTCATAAACCATAACTTTATTGATGAATACTGGAAGCTATATTTATGCTATTACAAAATAAAGTACAGGTCCAAAGAACCGGAAAAGAAAATCTGGGGTTTACTTTATTTTGAGAGTGGAACTGACCAACAACTATTCATGGGTTAGTATCTGAAATCATGGTACAAAATCTTCCGAAACAGATTCCACTGGGCGTTTGAACGCAATTTGTGATGATAATTACATCAATGGATCTCTGACAATTCGTTATGACATAAGGTGTTCGTGAAAAGGGTAAACCTGCTTCCCTCTGCCTGAAGCACCCGCCATGTGTAACATTGTCATGCAAATAGTAAGTCCCAGTAAGGAGATACACACAAGACATAGAATGAGATACGAGGGGTGTTCATTAAAGAATTCCCCTGACCCACTTCCGATGGACCCAGTGGAATGAAACTTGGCATAGGTATTAGTCTTTCTCCACATAAGAACCACCAAGAGTTACACACTTCTCCAAACGTTTTATGCAACTATGGAGACCTCGCTTGTAAAAGCCCTCATTTTGCGTCTCAAACCAGGACTTGACTTCAGAAATCAGTGTTTCATCATCTGTGAAACGTTTTCCCTTCAAAAATGACTTCATGGTTGGAAAGAGGTGGAAGTCAGATGGTGCAAGGTCAGGAGAGTAAGGAGGATGTGGAAGGATTTCATAGCCACAGGACAGCGCTTCTGTCTGGGCAACATGAGAGTTGTGTACTGGATCGTTGTCTTGCAGGAGACTGACACCCATGGTCAGCATGCCACGCCTCTTAAGCTTGATAGCGTCCCGCAATTTCCGCAGCAGTGAAGCATAATAGACTGTAATTGTGGTACCCTTTGCCAAGAAATCCATCATCACTACTCCGTGCTGGTCCCAAAACACCTTGAGCATGACTTTGCCTGCAGAGGGTTGGACACGTGTCTTCTTTGGGGGTGGTGATTCCACATGCTTCCATTGCATCGACTGAACTTTAGTCTCAGGATCATAGTGATGGACCCATGTTTCATCCTGTGTGATAGGTCTGTCAAAAAAGTTTGCCTGTTTTTTTTGGCACATGTCCAAAAGATCCTTTGAGCAATTGACTCGTTCCTGCTTTTGGAAAGGTGTGAGCAACCTGGGAATCCATCGTGCAGACACCTTATGCATGTTCAAATTGTCATGGATGATTTTTTCCACAGACCCTACACTGATCTCGACATCTTGTGCTAACTGGCGAACAGTTATACGTCGGTCTCCCAAAATGGCGGTCTACACTTGCTGGATAGTGTCCTCATCAATGGCTGAATGGGGGCGACCAGGAATGGCAGCTGTTTCCACTTAAACTGGCGATGCCAGTGTCTAACAACGTCATATGATGGGGCATCTTCCCCATAAGTTGCTTTCATTTCATCGAAAGTTTCTTTTGGTGTGCGACCTTTCAAATATAAAAACCTAATCACTGCTCGGTATTCTACTGGCTCCATTGTCACACCCTACTCGATCATAACACCTGTAAAAGTGGTAAAATTAATAGTTCGGTGCTGCAAATTCAGGCATAACCCATAGATACATGTATCATTACACATGTGAAATTTCAACCAAATATGATAACCCTAAGTGGTTTAGGGGATGTTAATGAACACCCCTCGTAGCATCGGGCATCATACTAACAGGAGATGTGTTAGGCCTCTGCATGTCTATCATCATTTTTTAAAGACTTAACCAGCTTTTTCATGCTGAAAAGTTTGTTTTAGAATGTACAGTTTTTTATATGTTGATATAATGGGATGCTAGTTTAAATGGTTGCATGTACATTGTCACTTGTTTCGGAGAGGATTGTTTGTTTATTTGTTGTTTAACGCCGCACTCAGCAATGTTCCAGCTATATGACGGCGTTCTGTAAATAATCGAGTCTCGACCAAACAAAAAAGTGATTGACACCATGAGCATCGATCCACGCAGTTGGGATACGTTGACATGCATCAACCGAGTCAGCGATGTCACGTATTGAATCAACCACAAACACAAATGAAGTTGTAATAAAGATTTATTCCCTCCCTTAAGGTAATTTTAAATCCCAATAATAATATTTAAATTCAAACTAATACCAAATTAACTAACACAACTAACTAACCTAGCTTCTCCTACAACTAACAATACTACCATTTACTACTAATACTAATATCTTAATACTAACAGTACAAATGTCTACTACTAATAATACAACTATCTACTACTAACAATACAACTATAACGATACACTATCCTAATACTAATAGTCTACCTCTGACAATACTAACACTAATACAAATGTTCTAAGAATAACACAACTAATACACAGTAATAACTTTGTGTGTGTACATATAAACAACAACAACACAAAAACACACCAAAAAAAACCAACCCCAAAAGATACAAAGCCACTCCACTGTCACAACAGTTGTATACAGAACTTTGGAATCTCTGATGTTACTGAGCAGTTCACACGAGAATTCTTCCTCGTAATATCGAATGGTGATCTTTCCACCCAGGCGATGTTGTTCCCCCGGAGTTAAGGGTGCCTGTTTACATGGATGCCACGGCTGTGTTCATCCTATGATGTGCACACGGAAACGGAGATACTTCTCTCCTTACGTATGGTCGGAGAACTTCTCTCCGCACGTGATGTTGGAGGTTGATACTTCCTCCTACGTACTATCGGAGGTACTTCTTCCCTCCTACGTACTATAAGGTTAACCGGCCAGTCCCGGGACACTACAATATAACATAAAAAATTACAGTCACTGAGGTATGTGTCACTACCTCACAATACAAACAGCAATGCACCAATACTCCGATTTACAAATTACTGAGATGAACTGTTTATACTTTGTTCATTTTGTGGTTATTGTTACAGTGGCTTTACGCTATTACAATCAATATGTGTATATAATTACATTTGAAAACAATACATAACTCAAAATTCTATCCTCTAAAATACAATTCTACATGAAACAATATATGTAAAAACTTACGTTAACCAGAGTAGAAGTCTCCCACAATGTTAGTCCATGCCTTACATGACCATGCTGATTCTGGCTGACTGTACCAATTATTACCCTGCCCCGCTATTTAAACTGACCCCAAGCCCAAGCTACCCCTGACCTCCCTATTGTTACACCAATTAACTCCCCAGCTATCAATCGTACCCAGTCACGCTTCCCTGAACATAACCTGTTCCCATAGTATTATCTGACAATATCTAAAAACAACCCGATAAGCTTAATATACTAATGTAACCATACCGTAATACATCTATCTGAAGTACTAACATATGATTAATATATACAAAATTATCTGTGATCTTGACATGCGAGCCTGACCACCCGATCCGGCGTCTCCTCTTACGACAAGCATAGTCGCTTCTTATGGCAAGCATGGATTGCTGAAGACCTATTCTACCCAGATCATCACGGGTTATTTCGGAGAGGTATTATAAAAGAACGCGTGATTGTAGGTCGAAGACCTGGTTCACAGAACGAGACCTGCTAAAACACAACCATCAACAGCCATTCGTTCTCAGACTGAGTGCGAAGTCATTTCTCGCTTTGATTCGCCCAAGAATTTCCTGTGGCATCTGTATCTCAAGTACCAGCCCAAGCTGTTTCATACCGGCCACTCCATTAAAATCTCACAAGCAGCTCTACCACGCGGCAAAGCAGACATACGGCACATGTAGTAACTATTGGCAACATTCTACCATCCGCTGACAGCCACTTTACTATGGAACGGAGTCGAGCAAAAATTACGTTCCAAATGTAAACACTATCTGATACACTTATCGGGACACAGATCTTTTCAAGGCTTGACTACAGTAATAGTCTGCTGACTGGTATTACAAAGTACAGTCTCTCTAAACTTCAACGCATTCAGAATACGGCAGCCCCTATAGTCAGTTGCAGTCCCATGAGCTGCCACATCACACCTGTCCTGTAGGCTCTGCACTGGTTGCCCGTTCCAGCACGGATAGAGTTTAAGGTTCTTGTCATTACCTACCAGTGTATCTCCGGCACAGCACCAAGATACCTATGTGACCTCTATGTGTACCAGCCTACCAGATAGCTTCGATCACAATCCCAGCTTTTGTGTAGTGTTCCAAGACGGAGATTAAAGGGACATGGCTTCAGATAATTCTCCTATCAAGCACCTATGCTGTGGAATACACTCCCAGAAACAATACAAACTGCAGAGACCCTATCTGTCTTTAAGGTTAGACTAAAAACATTGCTCTTTGACAAGTATTACCCTTGTACTATGTAAGCGCCATGAGCACACGAGTTGGTATGGAGTTTGGCGCCATACAAATGGACTAATCATTTTTATTATTATTATTATTATTATTAAACCTGACTACACAAAACGTCCGGTATATGAATTGGATATATATATGTTATTGGAAAATGTTGGTGGCCTGATATTCGACAAACGGTGCTTCAAAACGCAGCCATTGTCTATTTGCAATGTCTTAAACGGCAATGAAACACTTGTTCAATGTCATGGAGGAAAACAGTAAAGCAAAAATTCACGTGCAAGTTATGGCATTCGTAACTCGTGGTAGTGGCTATAAAAAGGCAAGCATAAGCCAATAATTTGTCATTCAATTGTCAATATTCTTCAAGTTCGAAAATGCCAAGACTCAGCGCTGCCACAGGACGTATCCAAAGAGCGGAATCGCAGTCTTCTGTTGCACGCCACCTCAACGTCCACCACAGCACCATTTGCCGCCTTTGTGACCGATACACACAGTTCAATTCCACTGCAGACCGAGAACCGGCCAACCAAGAGTTACCACCCCTGCACAGGATCGCTACATTCGACTGTTCCACCTACGTCATCGCAATGCCACAGCGACGGAGACTGCAAGACGCATCCCTGGTTTGAGGAGGATATCGGACCAGACTGTCAACAGACATCTTCCAGGAGACCAGTTATCGACCCTGTTTTGCAACAGATCCATCGACAGCGACGCTTGCGTTGGTGACATACCTTACAGCCTTGGAATTTTAGAAACTGGGTGCCGTTTCACGAAAGCCTCTTAGCGCTACGACCTCCTAAACCACGTCGTAAAGCACCTCTTAAATATTTGTGCCGTTTCACAAAGACCTCCTAACTTTACACCCCACCGTAAACAACCTCCTAACCTACGATAGGTATGGGGCACTTGTAACTAGCTTACGACATCCTAAGTCAGCGTCTGATATGGCGACACTATTGAGAATCAAAGACATTTTGAACAGGAGAAACATTAGGCGAGAGCGAATATTCAGGGATAGGACTGAAGTGTTGGATACTTTGACCGACACGGAACTGATTGCCAGGTATCGCTTCCCTCGGCATATCATCCTACAGCTGGCTGATCGGGTCAGCTCGGAGATCTCTCGGCCGACCCAACGTTCGTGTGCCTTACCTGTCCATGTTCAGGTGTTAGTCACGCTTAGATACTTTTCAAAAGGGGGATTCCTAAGGGAATTAGGAGATATACATGGTATTGCCAAATCAAGTGTTTGTCGCGTGTTGGAAAAGACGACAGATGCAATCGTAAAGTCGTATGACTTGATCCGGTTTCCAACGCCCGACAAACACGCTAAACTAGCGGAGGATTTCTTCCACATCTGTGGTTTTCCGAAAGTTGTTGGCTGCATAGATTGTACTTTGATACCCATTCAACGACCAGCATTAGATGAAGCAGTATTTGTGTGCAGAAAAGGATTCCACGCCATCAATGTGCAAGCTGTGTGCGACGCCCAACTCCGGTAAATATCCTTGACGTCCTTGACCCTTGCAATGTAAACAAACAATCTAGACTTGCTGGTACTTTCAGATAATAAACGTCATTGTGTCATAATTGATTTGTCAATAGCTCATGTAGGCTTATTTATGTCCAAATGTTTCATAATTGTTCGGCTTATTTAAATATTATTTTCTTAAGGAATGTGGACTTGTGGATTTAATTATTTATGTATGTATTTTTTTTATTTTTGCAGATTCACAAACATTATTGTACAATGGCCAGGATCAACCCATGATTCACATATTTTCAACAACTGCAATTTGAAAAGGCATCTGGAGGAAGGGAAATATGACATCTGGCTTCTTGGTGATTCAGGGTAGGTACATGTATGTCCAAGTTATTTATGTCATGTTTGTCTTTTAATGTATACATACATATATATCGGGAACATTAAATTTATCAAAACATTCTACATTAGGTATGCCTGTAGACCCTACCTCCTGACACCTGTCAACAACCCTGCAAATGAAAAAGAGGAGAAATACAACCGCTGTCATATTGGAACAAGGAACTCAGTTGAGAGGTCATTTGGATTGTGCAAATCTAGATTCAGGTAAATATTTAATTCATGGAAGCTTTATGTTTTAATTCAAGGTTTTGCTGAAGTAACTGGACTAATGAGCATGTGTATTGCTGATTGTATGTCATTCTGATTTCAAAATACCTGTGCTGTTGGCATGTATTTATCATGATAAAACATTTATACTAACAGGTAATATAAAATATGCGTTTACCTGATGATAAGTATTACTTGCTAAACTATAATTATATATGAAATGATGTATAAATATTACACAATGATAACTCATAAAAGCACTTGATGTGGATCTAATTATTATAGGAAAACTTTGTATTAATGTTATATCATGATATATTCATCACTATATTTGTAAACACAACTATATAAATATGTTACATCTGCTTAGGTGTCTACACAAATCAACAGGATGCCTGTTATTCAGCCCACAGAAGAGCATCAAAATTATTACTGCCTGCTTTCAACTTCATAATTTGGCAATATTACTGAGGTTGCCTGAGCCTGATGTTCTTTGTGAGACTCCTGGACCAGGGGTGGACAGCAATCCTGCTGATAACCACAACATGGATGGATGTAGAGTCAGGGGAAATCTTATCAACACTAGGTTTTAAATGAGGTAGCATACATATCCAATTGTGATACTTTTACTAAGAGGCCACATAATGTCAATAATCCCATACTAAAAGTTGTAAGGTAGCACTTTTTCAAAATCCAGCACCACTTTATGGCCACACTTGTGAATATTGCATATTATTGTTTTTTGGAGTTTATGAAAATGTTTAGTTTTTTGTACATATGCTATATCCAAATAATAACACAAACAACTAAACATCTTTGTGATCACAAGTAAACAGTAACATGAGTCACTGCCTTTAATCAAATTTGATTATGGGAGACAATGAGTTTCCAAATGATTTTTTATATTCAAATTTCTCTCTTTCCAGGTCCAGGCTCTGTCTTTGGATGTCACGGATGTCCCGCTCCACAGACAGAATTTCCTCAAGGAGTGACATCTTTCTCTCCTCCTGGGCTTGTAAGGACTTTATCTCTCCCAGAATGTCTTCTGAAAATATTTAGACAATTTTGGGTTATATCAATGATATTTGGATGTTCATTAATATTATTTTATTAAACATTTATGATCATGATATGTAATACTGAAACCACTACATTATGAAAGTATATGCCATACCTTCATTAGATGTTTTCTTGATCAGAGGCTTCCCTTTAGGTTTTCCTTGAAAACAAATTTGTATTGTTATTAACTAGAATTCATGATTTAGTGACTTGATTTTTTAATGTTAATACAAATTTACTATTGAATAAAGTTGCATAATGTTTAATACATACTGGTTCTGATAGCAGGAGTCATCATTATATCCTCCAGACTGGCTTGGTTCTTTTCTGAAATGTATATAGTATTTTTAAGACAATTGTAACTGCTAACATCTCACATGGGGTACCGGTATTCAGTTTGTTCACATGTATTTACAGCATACACCTGGATTTTTAGAATAAAATAGCACCAAGTTTATGAATTTATTCACCATGTCAGTGTAAATTGTAACATTTGATTATCTTTATTATTAAAAATTAGTTCATACCTGTGATACATGTAGTTCCACAATCATTTTCTCCTGTGCTTGTAGCTGTCAGTGGAGTGGAAAACACCTCCTGTGTAGAATCTGAAATATTTTAGTTGTGAGTGCACTAAAATATTTGTATTGAAGATATTGGTTAATTGTGCCTGACCATTAAGTGCATTGAGAAATCTCATATATTTCTTTTGTATACATGTGTTCATTTATAATACATTTAATAAGTAAGGGGAATTTGCCAATATGCAGGAGGTTTTAGTTTTTTTAATATGGCAATATTTAGTTTATTTACATCTTCAAAACAAAGAAATAAATGAGTTTGAAGTATTATTTACCAAACATTAATGCCTGTGTAGCATCTTCAGCTTCATCAGCCACTGAAGGAATCATGCTGAACACTCTTAAATTAATAAAACATATTTTTCATTGGTGTTATCATAACAAATACTGTCAATATTTCATAAATTTACCATCAAATACACATAAAACTTGATTAAGTTACATACTTTATTGACTTTAATACACATCTACATGGATCCCAAGAAGGAAGTGTCATCCTTACCAGGTGTTTCCATGCCTCCCGAGATCCCCTCAATAGCACAGGATGGAATCAGTTGTAGAATCTATTTAAAGAAGGAATTGGTGGCTATATTACTATAATAATAGTTTATTTTAAAATGTGTAATACACAATAAGTTTTTCATGAATTATGTTTATTGTAACACAAACTCAATATTTTTCAAAACCATTTTACTTTATCAGGTACATATTGAAACATTTTGTTTGTAGGCTTCATGCTGACATGAATTTATGTTGATTATTTACCCTCTTTTCAGTTGCAGTTAGGTCATCTGGGGGTGGTCCACCACCAGTTCTCCTAGCATTCAGCCTCCTGGCTGACTCTGCCTTCTTCACGCATCACTTCATGTCCGTCCATTTCTTACGTACTTCATCCTCATTCCGGGTTATGTCATCAGTGGCATTTAGTCTGATATTTAAAGTTATTATTATTATTTTTTATTATTATGATTAGTGATGGTGTCATTTGTGAAAATTATTTGAAATTGGTATCTTTAATTGAAAATACGAGTGTACTGTGCAAAATTCGTGTAAGATGTTAATTATTTGTTCATCATAAAAATCTGGCAAGATTGATGATGTGGTTTTGAGGAACAATCACTCACCCACTCTTCTGTTCTTTCATATTTGATCATTATGCAATGATCATTAACAGTGAGAGGTTAATAAAATTTTGAAGTGAAGTGGTGGTTCGTAGTTGTTTATGTCAAAAAGTGAAACCAAACAAATGAAAATAATCTGACCTTATTTAACTATCATTACATTATGTAATCCAGTATAGATCCACTTCTCTCAATAAACCTTTCCCCCCATTTTCAATTTGTTTCATTATACCTCACATTTTATGACCCTTGAAACACATGACAAATTCTTGTTACGTTTATGAACATTCTGGGAAACAAATATGCAAGTTGAAATAAATAAACAAATGAATATATACTGGAATGCCCCTCTGCTTTCATGGGTGATATCATAGACTCACTTTTATATTTTATGAGAGTTTCATTTTCATGTGTCATCAGAATAAAAGGCACTTACTTCGTGGTGATATCTTTCCAAATCTTCTTCTTTGCATTATTTGTCACTGTATTTGTAAAGGCTGAATTCAGCGTGTCAAAATTACTTTCCACGCCTGACACAATGGTATCTATGTCAGCCGAGGAGAAGTTTCTCTTTCTTTTCTTCAGTCCAGAAGCGTCCATAATATATATCTTAAGGTCGTCTGCCGCTACGAAGGGGAACAACTCTAATATTACAATCTTCCGTGTTTCCACACAAGAGAGTTACTATTTTTGCCGATGCAGCTTTTTGTCGCTGTTATTTACTATTCAAACCCTCACACTTGACAGCTATTGATGGAACTTTGATGTGTAACAGACTATCATTAAACTCGAACAGGTTTGTAGTTATCTATACTCACCATATGAGCTTTTATTTCATTCATGTTTAGCATCTGGCTCTTTTTTGATAAAAATTAACAGGTGCGCTTCCATTTCCGGTTTGAATTGTATAGCGTTGCTATGCAAGTTAGGATGTCGTAAATCGTAATCTCACTCTTATCTTAAGAGGGGTTTACGACGGGCTTACGATGCCTTTGTGAAACGGTCGTAAGACAAGTCATTAGGACATCCTAAACTAGGTCGCAGCGGTTAGGAGGTCGTAGCGCTAAGAGGCTTTCGTGAAACGGCACCCTGGAGACTAGTGTGGTTTAGCGACGAATCATGATTTCTTCTTCTTCCCCATAGAGGGGAATCGCAGTCTTCTGTTGCACGCCACTTCAGCGTCCACCACAGCACCATTTGCCGCCTTTGTGACCGATACACACTGATACACACAGTTCAAATCCACTGCAGACCGAGAACCGGCCTAACAAGAGTTACCACCCCTGCACAGGATCGCTACATTCGACTGTTCCACCTACGTCATCGCAATGCCACAGCTACGGAGACTGCAAGACGCATCCCTGGTTTGAGGAGGATATCGGACCAGACTGTCAACAGACATCTTCCAGAAGACCAGTTATCGACCCTGTTTTGCAACAGATCCATCGACAGCGACGCTTGTGTGGGTGACATACCTTACAGCCTTGGAATTTTAGAAACTGGAGACGAGTGTGGTTTAGCGATGAATCATGATTTCTTCTTCACCGGCGAGATGGAAGACAACGTGTTTATCGTCGTCGAAATGAGCGTTTTGCCCCACATTGTGTACGTGTATTCGACAAATTCGGTGGCGGTAGGGTCATGGTGTGGGGGCCATATCCTACACTATGTGATCTGACTTGGTTGTGGTTCAGGGAAATTTGACAGCAAATCGCTACATGAATCACATTCTTTAACCTCACCTTGATCCAATCATTGACCGCCAGAGGGAGCTGTTTCAACAGGACAACGCTCCATCACACACAGCTCGTGTCACGGTAGACTACCTTCATAATGCCAACATCGACGTCTTGCCCTGGCCGTCCAGATCTTCAGATCTCAACCCAATTGAACACCCCTGGGTTGAACTCGATCGACGTGTACGTCAACGTCAGAATACGGCGCAGACACTCCCACAACTGACCAACGCGTTACAAGCAAAATGGCGCAGAATTCCGCAGGACAGAATTCGTACACTTATCCAGTCAGTGCCTAGGAGATGCAGAGCCGTGATTGCTGCCCGGGGCGGTCACACAAGATACTGTGTTCAGTGCAATCTTGTGGCCTTATGTGACATGACAATGAACATTTTTCAATGCCTTTGTACAACGGCAACATGTGACTATCGAGCTCCAAAATTTCATATTTGTATCTATTATATTAAATAAAATATATCCACTTTATTAGATGCAATAAATTTACTAAAAATCTACCTGTGCGCTTCTTTTTCTGAAGAGTGTATATTGATTAATATAAATATTTGGATAAATCCTTAATAAAAGCTCAGAAAAAAATTGTTGTATTATTGATGGTTATATGACAGTGCGCGAATTATATCCCAATTATCCTGTTAACTGTAATTAGTTCTGCAGGTATATACCAGTATATTATATCCTTGATATATTCTGTAATTATTGTCAGAATGTTTCAATGTATGCAGATGATTGATAAAATACTCGTTCGGAATCCCACCTAAATCAAACCTTAATAGCTATAGTCAGTGACACTGCGGTATATTAGTGTAGTGTATAGTATATAATGTGGTATATTCTTATTAGATGACCACCTATGATATAAAACGTGTGCTCCTAGATCTTTGGCCGCGTCATACCCAAACACGTAAAAGATGGTACTTTTTGTTACTCTGCCCGACGTTCGGCATTATGGGGATGAGACAAGGACTGGTCGGCTCGGAGACAGTTTACTGTGTCTAAGTGACGTTTCCATGCATGTTAAACTGCGACATGGAATCTCTGTGGGCTATGACTATAACTATACCTTTTACAAACGTCCTTTATAAGTGAATGTTTCAAAACATGTTGGTAACCCTCAGAAGAGTTTTGGAGAACAGTGCATCAATTAACACAATTCTTTTGGATTTACTCTGAGATTATGGTGTTGCAATAAATTGTCTTGCGACCGTTGTCCCTTTGTTCACTGGTTATTTCTGATACGTCCTGCACTTGAGATAAGAACGAGTCTAAGTCCTCATTCTCTTATTTCAGGGATCTCACTTGTGATAAACAACATGGAACTGATTGGACTTTTCCTGTTATTCGTGGTACTTTCATCACAGGAGGATGCTGTTTGTGGAAGTGACGTTTCCAGACTTTCAAGGTTAGTCTTCCACGTATAAATGAAACAAAGCAATCCACCGGGAAGAAAGGTATAGTATCAGACGCTGAAGGTCAGACGCAGGATGGAGGCATTCAGTACTGTAAACGTACAGGAACTTATTGTGAAACCATCAAACAACCAAAAAATGGTATACAACTGACACTTGTATTACAAAATTAACTAGGTTTACAAATTACTGGACGGCAATTACAATGGCACTACACAATAGAGTAGTAGTACTTTAATCAATGGCAATACATGATATGATTGCAGTGGTCAGTACAAAATACAAAAATATAATTGTGATAGCAAAAGTCATTGATAACAAGCATGAAATACTCATATCCCCCGCCAATATGACATGTCCGGTTGTGTGCAATGTATTAGCTCCTGTGAACTGTGTTCAATGATCCTTTTTGTAACTTGCCTAATTGCAGTAAGGACATATGGACGAACAACTTCTTTATAACAATTAGAAGCGGCGTTTCGGTGTAGGTTCTAACACCGTTATCAAGCAAGTGAAGTACAGAGTATGGTTGACAAGAATATATACAGGATAGGCGGCAGTGTTTATACAGTTCAGTAGGTTTAAGATCAGTTACACTGTTGTATTTTTAATGAGTTGTGTTATTACTTAAGTGAGTGAGGGAGTGAGTATGGTTTTACGCTGCTTTTAGCAATAGCACGGCGGGGGACACCACAAATGGGCACATGTACCCATGTCGGGAATGGAACCCGGGTCTTCGGCGTGTGGTAAACTCGAATTTTTTTGTTTTAAAATCCCAAACTATCAAAAGGCACCAGTTCACCACTAGACCTATCTATGTGCCTAAAATGTTTAATAAACGCAGGCGTATGTGAAACATTATGAACAATATATGTTTCTATTCGCTCACTTCTCCGATGCGATTAAAATGAAATCTGTGACTTCCGAATCTTCAGCACCGAGGAGAGGCAAAGAACAAAAACGTCCAGATAGAGTAAGCATAAGATATTTATACCAGCCCGGTGAACTCGAAGGAGGCCTACGTCGCGCAACCGATCCGATTTGGTCCCTTAAGATATATAACATTAGTCGATTGGTTATGAAAGAAGAAGAGCCTATTCTTTATTATCGTAGACCGGGAAGGGCATTTGTACGAGAAGAGTTGCTCATAGTTCCCAACGATACAGCATTACCGCCCTAAGTAACCATAAGCATAGGTAGTTACACCATCCTTATCAATCCATCTCTTTGTATCTAAGGGGGAAGTAGTATAGGTAATGATGGTTCTGCCGCAACTCCACTGGAGCAGGATTCGTATACCTATACTGCTACTACAGGAGGAATTTTTTATGCCAAAATGATGATGCGATTTAATGATAGTCATGAGATTAAGTTAAATTGGCTCTAGCTCACCAATACCTGGGGCCAATCATTGCTTCTATTAGTATAAAAATGATAATGTGATTCAACGAAAGTCGTTTTAAAAGAAATATCAATATTAATTAATAATGGATAAAATTTACTATAGCCCACGAGGATATTGGAAAGGTGTAGGAGCAATAAAAAAATTAGCCACCGCGGCTAAGGTATCTAAAGATGTGGCCAAGGATTGGTTAAAGAAACAAGCGATGTGGCAGATATATTTACCGGCACCGCGTTATATACCGAGGAAGAAGTTTGATATTTTTACAACGAATGAAGTTCATCAGGCTGACCTCTTGTTTCTTCCCCACGATAAGGTAAAACGCAAAACGTATAAATACGCTTTAACCGTAGTGGATGTGGCTAGTCGATACAAAGAGGCTGAGCCATTAACCTCGAAAGAATCAACAGAGGTAGCTAATGCACTGAGTCGCATATACAAACGTGGACCGCTAAAATGGCCTAAGCTATTTCAAGTAGATCCCGGTCGCGAGTTTATGGGATCGGTAACTAAACTGTTAACAAAGCACGATGTTGAAATCGTCCGTGGTGAAAGAGAGGCCCACCGCAGTCAAGCTATCGTCGAAAGATTTAACAGGACATTAGCGGAATGTTTGTTTGGCTATCAGTATGGGATCGAAATGAAATCCGAGCGATTGAGATCAACCGAATGGGTGACACGATTACCAGCCGTTGTATCAGCGCTGAATAATGAAGTAACGAGATTAATAGGGAAGAAACCATCCCATGCTATTAAAATGAAATCAGTGACTTCCGAATCTTCAGCACCGAGGAGAGGCAAAGAACGAAAACTTCCGGATAGAGTAAGGGTAAGATACCAGGCCGGTGAACTCGAAGGAGGCCTACGTCGCGCAACCGATCCCATATGGTCCCTTAAGACGTATAACATTAGTCGATTGGTTACGAAAGAAGGAGAGCCCATTCTTTATTATCTTCAAGATGGACCGGGTAGGGCATTTGTACGAGAAGAGTTGTTCATAGTTCCCGATGGTACGGTATTACCACCATAACCATAAGCATAGGTATTTACACCATCATTATCAATCCATCTCTTTGTATCTAAGGGGGATAATGATGTCTTGTTCATTCTTAATCCATATATCCTATGATTGTAACTTCTGAAAGAGTTCATCTCGTGTTTGAACGTTCTACCGTTGAATAATGATTCTTTATACTGTTCGTGTTTGATATGCTTTTTTGCCACATACTTCTTAACACCCTTAGCTTTTCTTATCTCTCCATTATCGGACTTCTTTATAGAATACATCTTAGGTCTTAATCGGACATACTCAGCTATAGGGGTCCCAGCACATTCATCCTTCATCTTACCTAACACCTTTTTATTTACTACGCTGTGCAGTGGATTATCTTTTGGGTAATCGCTCGTGTCGTACATATCTATTTTTTCTGCCATATCTTTATACACATCCTCGGTTTGTATTTCCATCAACAAAGAATCTGTGTCGGTATATAACACCTCGCATCTATCGCCGTATTGCTTCTTAAGTTCGTTGTAATAAAAGTCATACATTAAGTGTTTTGACAAGTCGAGAATACTCATACCGACGTACACCGGTCTGTTGAATTTTATATTACTCTTCTGCATATGCAACGCGGCTAAGTCGTTATCGAATATCTTGCTTCTGTTAAAAGCCGGACTGGCTATAAGTTTCCTGAGTCTTTCTTCCTCATTAGATCTGACTAATTTAACATCAACACGCTTCCTTAGATTCTCCATAGTTTTACCAAATACCGAGTTATTCATGAGCTTATATAGATTCTTTTCGAAATCGCTGGTAGCTATCTTTCTTAAATCTGTGTTCAACCTTATATAGGGCTCCATCCAAGGGCTTTGATCGAACTTTAGAACTCTGTGTATTTTCTTAAGTTTCATACCTAACGATAGATACAACTGGAGATTTCTGTAGTGAACTATATATTTTGTTTTATCCATCAAATTTGGTACGAGTTTTTCTACGTTAGCTTACCTACTATTACCCATCAAGGAGCGTTGATATTCCGACATCCAATCTTTATTAACCATTAATCTTTCGGGAGCTAGCGGATAACTGTTATGGTCTTTATGTAACGAACTTGGATATTCCAAGTCAACTTCTAGTATGTACCCTTTATTCACTTCGATATTATGGATATCATTCACATTAATATCATTGACCCATTCAAAACCACCCGTGGGTAAAGGTTGACTCATAGCCCATCCGTACAAATTGTTGGCGTCGAGATATAATATGTGCGTGTCGGGTTTACTGGGATCGTATCCTTCCACTAATTTATTATTAGCCTTAGAATACCTTTTAGCTGCCATCGATATACCACCTCTTAATCCTTTCTCAATAAACAAGTGCATATCGTAATCTGTGAGTAATTTTAGTTCTACGCCGGTCTTCTTCAACAATGCATCCCACGATAGTCCGGGACTGGAATAGTACCATGCCGGGTCCAAGCCGTATTGTTTGAAACACGTCTTTCTAAATATCTCGAATATATCGGCGAGTAACAGTACATCGGTTTTTAAGTACAGATCGTGATAATCGCCTAAATTCTTACAACCTAATTTATCCCACACCGTCAGAGCGTGTTCATAATCGGCATCTGTTATTTTAGATTCTGTTAAGTTACTATAGAATGATTCGAGGGGTGGTAATTCAGTTTCTTCGAATCTAGACCAATCATCCATATATTCGTAAGGATATACACCTTTTCTCAGCAACAAATGACGTGTTATCTTATCGGTATATTGATTTGTTATCGCAAAGTCATCGGGATTGTTCGCATTAGCTAAATTGTCCAGGGAAGATAACAGAAACTGTACGGAGTCTATGAATCTAAGCCCATTACTTTGCTTTGTTCTAGATTTCCCATCCTTGTCCCTATAATGTATAGGTTTAGTCAACGAGAACGATATGTATTTTTCCATATTATTAGGAATGCATGTTAAACCGCCGTCGGTCTTCGAGATAGCTTGCATAATGAGATGTGAATCGTATCCCCTAAGGTTATGAAACACAACGGGGATGGGTATTGTTTGAGAGTTCATTTTTAGTTTCAAGTTACACTCGTTATGAGCGGCTCCCCGATAATTACCCGTGACGTGACAATGATCTCTTACGGAATCCCCATCCAGGGGTTTATTACAAACGTGACAACTCGTTGACTTCTCATAGGCACTCCAATCATCCCTCGTCATACGCATGGGTATCTTACACGATAATTTTTCCCTGATTATTCTCTCTTCATTTTGTAGATATTCTAGGAACTTTCCCGCTGCATGGGGACCTCTGTAAATCACGGGAGTGTTTGTTTTCCCATCATACCTTACAACTATATATCCAAACCCACAAGGAATATGTTCTTGAGTTTTGTACGTAAAACTATTATCTTGATTATTATCTTGATTATTTTCTATGGGTTTGATAAGCGCTTCGAAGTCGGCGTAAATTACGTACGGTACTGGCATTTGATTACAATAATGTTCAAATTTTAATATATTTTTTCCTTCTTTAGGCATATCGATCCTGATAGCATTCTGTCCAACCCCTCTACAGTCTTC